CTCTATACAAATAGAAGGAAAAAACTTGCAATGGCAAGATAGGATGCTCCAACCACAGTCATGGCCAGTAAGAAGGAACTGAGAAGGTTCAGGGGTGGCTCCGCCCTTCATACCAGCATGGGGAAGCAGAGGGGTACCACTCCGATGTGTACCACTGAGGGGGAAAAGTCTGACAGTGCACCAGGCGCACATGTACCTGAAGTGGAATGGACATGTGCAATCACTCGAACAAGAACTATATAATAAGATCATCTTCTTACTCAATCAATCAGCAAATCTGCCCCCGCTTCATTTTGCATCTTATTTTATTAACAAAGGCCTATGTTTTGGACTCTGCTTAGAGCATGCAGCGCCAATACCATGCTGGGAGAGCCAGCAAGATTGGATTCTGCCTCAGGCATCAGCTACATTAGGCCGTTTAATTCCAAACCAAGGTTCACTACTACTGGGGATTAAAGAGGAGGCTGAAAGAACCGAGCTTAGTTTTCGAATCATATGTGAACTTGGAAAAAAAAATCTTTTTGATGTATAAATTAAGCAAATTTGGGGCTCGATTGTCCACCACCTTATATTGCGTCACTCCTGTGCAAAGTGGGTGTAAAACACTTTCATATAACAACGGTGGCATTTTATACCCATTTTGCACAATTGTAAACAATTCCACAAGGCACAAGGCCGACATAATCGGGTCCTGTGCCTGGAATCACATGCAGCATAAATCGGGAATCCCACACAGTTATGTTAGCCAAGCAGGCTGAAACCAAACCTCAAAAACAGAGCCAGATTTTCAAAAAAGTACTCAGTACCCACAACTGGCAGAGGATTTTTGTAAAGAGTTCAGATTCCACTTGAACACCTAACTAAAGAGCCAGGTTTTCAGAAGTACTCAGCGCCCAGCAGCTCCTGTTCTCAAGGACTCAATCACCAGCATGCTGAGCAAACCTGGCCATGTATTTAGGTGCCTTAATGGAAGCTGAGCTCTCTAAACCCCCATTGTGGGTGCTGAGTCTTGCAGAAAATCCTGTTCTCTGCATGTGCTTGGCTGTGGAATTTAAAGGAGCAGGAGGAGCTAAGCTGAATACCCCCATTAACACAAGTCACCCAAAGAATACACATTCCACTCATAGTGACAAGAGAGGATTAGCAGCAATGCTGCCCCATGGAGAATGCCTTTATACCCACTTTATAGGTTTTATGCACAGATCCTAACACATACAGCCCCGCTCCTCCCGCTCTGAGCATCCCGAGAAGGTTTTGAGGAGATCATGCCTTGGGTGAGTGGGAACAGAAATGGCTGCACAACAAAAACTGAACTGCATAAAAGGGAATATGTCAGATGGCGGAATGTTGGAAGTGAACCACATTAATCAAACACAGAAATTCAGAGCAAAATAAGGAGGGTGAGGAAGAGAAAAGACTGAAAGTGCTGAGTGTGAACAACAAAAGTATAGTTAACTGGCTTCCTTCCACCCCACCCCACCCCAAATCAAAGCAGCCCAGAAAAAAGTGCCAGCAGATCTCATGACATTTTAGTGTTCATGAGTGTTCTGAAGTATCCAAACTCATAGAGCAAAGGTTGGTTTCCTGAAACTGAAAAACCACATCATGCAGACGAGACACCATTTCCTGCTAAGCTTGAGCATGCCCAGTGTTCTGTATCTGAAAGGCAAATATCCCTATGGCGGGGGATCACAAGGGAAGGTTTAAAGCCTCTCACTAATCCTGGGCCCAATATGCAGTGAGTCTTCATCACTGCTCAGAGCCCTTTAACTCCTGGACATCGAGGGTCACCCTCTGCATAATCTGATGCACTTTGGGATCTCTTCTGCCACAGAAATATGCTCAGAGCTCCCATCTGCCTCAACAGCAGTCACCCACCCACTTGGACAGGTGAATGGAACCTGTAGTCTGTACAGGCACAAGGAGCTATTGGCAGAATAACTAGAGGGCGACAGAGATTGAGGACTGAGAAGCCACAAGGTATCTGATGTGGGAACGTCAGCAGGAGCTTGCAAACCTCTCAGCCCTCCCTGCTGCATTTCAGTGGAGGCCACAGAGCAGCTTTGCTCCGAAGCTATCTACACTTCCATGTATTCCCGAGGTCCCACTCTGCTCCACACATTTCCACATCTCCCCTTTCCTTTTCCACTTTTCATGCAAACACACTTCGGAAATCAGCCGCACAGAGTGCTAAAGGCTGGGTGTGGTATCTGACACCCTCTAATCTCAACCTCTAAGAGACCAAGCACTCCAACTGTACAAAATGCCTGGTCAACCCCCAACTGGGGAGTGGAAGCCAAAGACCCCAACTAATCTTGTCTCTATCTAGGATGGTGTGAAAGGTGCTTTCTGTTCCTCTTCCCTCCATCCCACAATCAAAACCTGGGTTAAGTTAGCAGTCAAGGCATAGGTTTTTTTTGAAGTGATTGAACTGCTATAGATTGTGGCTTCAGGATTCCCACTACAGAGCTTTGATGTACACCTCTACCCCGATATAACGCGACCCGATAGAACACGAATTCGAATATAACGTGGTAACGCAGCACTCGGGGGGGCGGTGCTCTGCACGCCGGTGGATCAAAGCAAGTTCGATATAACGTGGTTTCACCTATAATGCAGTAAGATTTTTTGGCTCCTGAGGACAGCGTTATATTGGGGTAGAGGTGTACATTCTCCATGGTTTCCTTTTAATTTTGAGACCCCTTCTCTTCTCTCAGTGAGACAGGGGATCCTGTGCATTCCTTTAGGGGTCTTCCACTTTTTCCTATCCTTTACACATTCATTTATTGATGTACCATGATACAGTTACTCTGGCTTTTGCAAAAGGGAATTTGACATCACTCTCTACTTCAGAGCCTAGCACTGTTACACCCTCACTGACCTGAGAAGTCCCTGTTACTCCCTGCTGCCACTGGTGGGGCTAATGTCTTCCCTTCTCCAGCAGTTTCAGATTTGCCAGGGAGCTGAAGATCATAACTAGGGCCCTACCAAATTAATTCACGGTCCATTTTGGTCAATTTCATGGTCATGGGATTTTAAATATAATAAATTTCATTATTTCAGCTGTTTAAATCTGAAATTTCATGGTGTTGTAATTGTAGGGATCTTGACCCAGAAAGGAGTTGGAGAGGAGGGGGGGGGGAAGTGTCATAAGGTTGTTGTAGGGGGGTTGCACTACTGCTACCCTTATTTCTGGGCTGCTGCTGGCAGCAGGGCTGTCTTCAGAGCTGGGCAGCCGGAGAGCGGCGGCTGCTGGCCTGGATCCCAGCTCTGAAGGCTGCCAGCAGCAGCACAGAAGTAAGGGTGGCATAGTATGGTATTGCCACGGTTACTTCTGTGCTGCTGCTGGTGAGGTGCTGCCTTCAGATCTGGGCGCCCAGCCAACAGCTATTCTCCGGCCGTCCAGCTCTGAAGGCAGCATAGAAGGGTGGCAATACTGCAACACCCCTCAAATAACCTCATGACCCCCCACAGCCCGCATTTAGGTCAGGACCCCCAGTTTGAGAAATGCTGGTCTCCCCCATGAAATCTGTATAGTATATGGTAAAAGCACACAGAAGACCAGATTCCATGGTCCATGGCATGTTTTTCATGGCTGTGAATTTGGTAGGGCCCTAATCATAACTAAAAGCTTGCATGAGCAAAGAAAAATCTGTCTTTTTCCACCACGCTCTTAACAGCTCTCAAAAGCTCAATGCACTCAGGAAGTCTTGCCTTAGTTCAGTATTCTCCAATACAATCACCTCTGTAAGTATTGCACGAATTTTGAACCCTCTGTGACTTCTAGTACAACAGTCATTCAAGACAAGGAACTCTCAGCACAGGAGAACAGCTCTGGTCACAGTGGGATCAAAAGTGCTGCTATAGTTTAATAACCAGGATTTTCTCGTCTGCCATGGGGAAGCAGTGAGAGAGAGAGAGAGTGAGTGTGTGTTTGTACCTTCAACCACTCCCTCTCTTCCAGTTCCTTATAAGCATCCTTAAAAGATCATCCTTGCTCATACTTGTTATCTTCCAACCCATCGCCTGTTATCCCTTCACCTCTGAGCTCTTTGAATGAGCGACAAATACAGCCAAATGTCTCTTTTTGAACTACTTCCTGGATCCCCTTCAAACCTGGTTTCCTCCCTCCCCACCGACATCATTCTCAACAAATCACTCTAATGACCGTCTTTGGGCCAATTCTTGGCACCCCAACTCATCTCTAACCTCCTTTATCATTCTGTAGCTTTCAACACCATTGATTGCTCTCCCCTACTTAATAAACAGTAAGTAATAATATCAGATGTCAATGAGAGTTTCATGCATGGATAGACAGTAGGAAATGGTCCTAAATACTTTATGATACTTATTGATGAACCATCCAATTCAAGGTTTCTAATAATCAAGTAAAAATGATCAGACTTGACCTGAGATCCATGAGTATTAATTGCTGCCAATATTTGCATGTTTGTAAAGTGCTATATAGCACTAAGTGATTTTAATTGTTGCTAATAGAGAGTTTTGTAAATTGAAAGTCAAAAGACTTTTTTCCAAACCAGTTAAAATTAGAAATGTCTCTCTCTCGCTCTCTGTTTTTCAAAGTCTGCATCATTAAAATGGCCTTCACCGTCTCTTCTCCTCCCTAATTGGGGCTGAAATTAAGAATCCAAGTTGGCCCTTCTGTCCTGTAAAACACTAATGGCCATTTGTATTTTATCAACCAGCTGTTCAGTGTCAGCTTTTCATCCTGAACAATCGTTAAACATTTCAGGAAATCAACCTGTGCAATTATGGATACTCACAGTCTGTGATGCAGTCAAACCTCTTGAGCCACTGAAAACACCCTCCTCGTTACCCTGAGTTCCTCCCCAAGCCCACCCTCACTCCCAGAGGGACTGGGAGTTAGCCCCGTTCCTGCTGTCTCAGAGGTGTGACTGCATCTAAATGGAAGGCACTAGAGGTTACACAAAAGGCATCTTTCAGTCCAAAATGGTAATGGGAACAAGAACCTTCTCTACCTTGCAGGTCAGCTTTGGTCAACTCAACTTTGTTAGCAAAAAATCAGAAAAAGCAAAAAACAATAAACCAGAGGTTAGTAAAAAGGCAGATAAACCAGAACAACATCACTGAAAATAAACAAACAAAAGCGATTGGCGTAACCAACACAGCCTACAGGCAGGATGAACACACACGAGAGGGGCACTGCAAACAACACGGACACCGGGGGAGTAGGCAGAAGACAGGCAGCAACTGCTGCCTTAATCCATCACACTAGAATGCTGCCTGGTTTTGTATCAGAAGACAAAGCACTGATGATAGGGGAAAACATATTTCTCTATCACACACACACACACACACACAAAAACCAGAACAGAACAGCAGCATCCTATGATGTACTAGCAGTTACACAAAGTACCCCCAGCCTCCTGTGGTGTTTACTGATCATTTCAGGAGTCGCCTTGTCCCCCATCCCCATTAAAAAAATACTTAGAATCAATTTGAATAAAAGAAAAAAAATCTATTTGACGTTTAACATGTGAGCTAGGACTACAGTTATTGTCTTGCAACATCCAGGTTCAGGCTGGAAACACAAAGCTGCTCCCCTCCCTCAGAGTGCAGCTCCCCATTGGCTTTTTGTCTAAAGTGAATGTAGGGTAGGTGAACGCTGAGGATTGACAGTCTTGGTGACAGACATACTCTTCATCCCCTCAATAGGGCCTGGCACTGGGTGGGAAGTGACAGTGGGAGCTTCCTTCACATGCTGCCTCCTGCCCAGGGGCTTCACCTGGCTCTGGAAGAAACCCACACACACTTGAAAAAAAGAGGGCAGTTTAGTCTCTCTGGCCCATTTACTTCTTGGCAGTCGCAGCAGTATATGTGACACAGAGAAAACCGTGATATTACCAAGACAGAACTAGGACCAAGCTGCACTCATAGAAAGGAGCACAGAGAAGAAAACCCACCAAACGTTGAACTGGTGGATACAGATGAATTCTCCTCAGCTACAGGAATCACCCCTCTTATGGAGAAGCCACATAGATTTTTATGTTTCAAGCTTTTGGTTTTAAGTGTTCGCTTTCAGCATGGAAAGGGGAGTGGGGATGGGGACAGGGAGCAGCTCCTGAATCCCAAATTACATATTTCTGTTAGCCATCACAGTGGCAAGATTATTTGATAAAACACTGGCCCTAGTCATGGGTGGATAAGAAGTATGCACTCACCTTTGTGGCTTATTGTTCTTAATAAGAGCTACTACTTAAGAGCTAGTACTGAATCTTGGCTGATGTTATTTTTTTCCCCTTCTCCTTTTACATTTACTGCTCTATAAATTGGAATTGGCAATAGAAGCAAATGTGCAGTTTCCTGTGGTTCCAATAAAGTTTAATATCTTGAACCTTTGCTATCATTTTACAAGCCACAGTCCATGAAAAGACTCGAGATGGCAATTACCTCCCCTTTCTAGCCACTCACATTTTTTTCCCCCTTCAGAGCAGCTCCATTACACAGACCCATAAAATTTCCCAACGTCTCTCAAATGAAGAGGGACAGCTTAACTCATTTCTCCAGGCCTTTTTCCTTGCCACTTAGTCCAATAAACAGTCTTCTGTGTAGAACAAATGAGGACTCTCTTGCTGCCCATCTCCTCATCTTCCTCCCACTTGATTCAGTGAAACTCTCAGGGGGAATTTGTGAAATCACTTTTCTCCGTGCCAATAGAATACAATGTTATATGGTACAGAGGTGTTGCCAAGCTGCATTAAATTATTGTTGCATAGGCCCCCACCCAACATGGCCAACCCCTGATGCTTCACAGAAAGGTGAAAAAGGACCATACTCAGGTATGCAATATTGAGGAGTGAAATCCTCTTTGACAGCATCCAGTGATCAGTTTACAAGAATGAGATTTGATTAACTTCCCTCTTCCCCTGCTCACGATTCTCTATACGCAAAATATACTGGTCATTAAATTATCCAGTCCCATTGTTTGATTCAAGTACTTCATGCAGCAGTGAATTCCAAAGGTTAACTATACATTGTGGTACGTAGCATAAGATTATGATTTGACTGCAGGATTTGGCAGAGATTAAGCTGGGCTCAGAGAGAAGGAAGTCCATCACAAGAGCAAAATATCTTGAACAGTAGAATAGGAAACACAGCCTCCAGCCAAACAATAACTGCTTGCTCTTTTCTGTGAAACTGTTTAGCTTAGATCTAACTTGTTGTCAGTGGGACTGGTCCAGAGAGGTGAAGAGAAGTGTGTGGGAGGGTGCCACTGAGACCCACTGGGGCACACAGGAAATTGTGTCTCAGAAGAAGAGAAACAATTTGTAATGACAATCCAGCTAAGCTGATACCAACATATTCAGCAAAAGGAGCAAAGCGTGTGGTGGGGGAAATGGAGACGCAGGAAAACCACACGGGAAATGAACGATAGCAATGAAAATGACCTCAGGACGTATCAAACATACCAATTACTCATTAGGCTCAATGGAAAAGCTCACGCTCAGGGTGCTTGCCCAGATAAGAGCTTTGCTTATATTAGGATCATTGTGGAAATCAGTGCACTGCAGCTTGACTCTTATACGCTCTGGGACAAATTCAGCCCTTGATTTCAATGGTATTATATCACGGATAAAGTGTTCAGCAAGAGGTTTCGGACCCATGTCAGCTCAAAAGGCAGCAAAGGGGAGAAAGCGCCTCCTTGGTCCAAGCCTCGTCCTGAGTTGAGGATTTATTGGGTTATTCTGAAGGAAGGTTATCCTCATAGATCCCATATTTTCACTCCATTCTCAATTTTACTTCTGCCACGTAGACTCCAGAGTACAGTGACCCTTCCTCTGGAGCCTTATAATACCACTCCAAGTGTTTGCCTGATGCAGCTTGAGCAATACAGGCCATTCCCATCTCTCAGAAAGGATTCCATGCTCCCAGCCACTGCCAGAGGTTGTGAAGCTCTAACCATGGAGAATCCCAGGTGGTGATATGTGGAATGTTTATTTCCTCCCCAAATTCCAACACTCAGCTCATCTCTAGTGCCTTCCAGTCAAGGACCTCAAAGTGGTTTAAAAAGACAGAATTGCACTTCATACTTGTCTATTCACACGGAGCTGATACACACCCCAGTGTGATGGGGACCATGAGGCTCACAGCAGACGGGGATTGTTCAAGTTCACACTGTGTCATTGGTAGAATCATAGAAATGAAAGGCTGGCTGGAAGGGACCTCAAGAGATGGTCTAGTCCATCCCCTCATGCTGAAGCAAGTATACCTAGACCACCCCAGCAGCTGTTTGTCTAACCTGTTCTTGAAGGCGTCCAGTGACAGCGATTCCCCAAGTGCCAGGGGGAATCTATTCCAGTAATTAACTATTCTTAGAGTTATACAGTTTTTTCCTCAGAGCTAACCTAAATCTCCCTTGCTACAGACAAAGCCAATTACTTCTTGTCCTGCATTCATTCAGTGGCCATGGAGAACAATTCACCATCCTCTTTATAACAGCCCTTAACATATTTGAAAAAAATGCATCAAGTCCCCCCTCAATCTCATCTCAACATTAAAACTATCCAATTTTTTAACCTTTCCTCATAGATCAGGTTTTCTAAACCTTTGATCATTTTTATTGGTCTCTTTCGGACTCTCTTCAGTTTGGCCACATCTTTCTTCGAGTGGGGCACCCAACATTGGGCACAGTACTCCAGCTGAGGCCTCACCAGTGGTGAGTAGAGCAGACCACTTACTTCTCCTGTCTGACATACAATGTGTTAGCCTTTTTTGCAACTGCTTCATATGGCTGGTATGTTCAATTTGTGACCCACTATAAGCCCTGTATCTTTTGCTGCAGTACTGCTGCCTAACCTGTTATTCCCCATTTTGTATTTGAGTCTTCCTTCCTAAGTGTAGTAGTTTGCACTTGTCTTGTAGACACGTATAGAGCTGACCCCCAGGCCCTTGTAATTAGCAATGGAGCAGTCAGGTTTGCCTTCCCCTTGTTTTTCTAAATCTGATTAACCCTTTCAAAAGATTTTGTGGCTCACAGTGCTAATTTGTTGGCCCAACAACACCAATGTGTGCCAAGATAATTTGTGTTGTAGCTGCTGTCCTAGTCAATATTTTGTGACTTTGCTGTCTATGTTGTAGGTCCTCCAGCAAACATTAAAGATAAAGATGAGACTTGCCTAGATCACCTGGGCTATAGCCATTCCTTATCAAGTGACACACAGTATGATGTTACTTTCACAAAGATTGTGTGTTAATCGTCAGCCCGGGACAGATTCTTCACAACAGAGCGCAGCAAAGCTATTAGATTTGCTAAATACCTTCCAGGAAAACAGGAGCTGCCAGCCTAGCACTGACCAGAGCTTTCTGAGATCAGAGAACAGCTGTCAATTGATCTTGTGTAAACAAAAGAATAGACTCAGTCTTCTGCAAAAGGGCACAGAAAACAGAAGCTTTAGCTTCACAGGCCCATTTGCCGTTTCAAGTATGCCTTGGTTCTTGTTTCACAGAGAAGCATCCAACTTGAGGTTGAAATGTACTCATGCTTGGCCACATGTGAAGCTCTCTTGGGACATTTCACAAGAGCAGGGTCTGCCAACAAAATTGGGATTGAACCAGGGACCTCTAGAGATGAAAGCATTAATCACTGCAGCTTGAGCTAAAGAGCCAGGCTCTGCAGCTGGGGTGGAAACAGACCCATATCCTTTGGGAGTTGGGCACCGAGGGGGACATGCAACACAAAGTGACGAGTGGGTTACATTTGCTCTGCTACCCTGGTCAAATTCCAGCTTGGGTAATTTCTTTCTGCTGACCAAACTCCTCCCTGTAATGTCAATTAGATACATAGTTCTTCTTGCCTTCAGGTCTTAAACTGTGGCGTAGCATTTCTATACACTATTAACCTGCCACGTTCTATCCCAGAGGTGGCTGCATTTAGGAATGCTTTAGGATCCCTCAGGTGCTAGAGAAATAATCCATTACCCTCCTATAAATTGCATTTATCTTGAACTATCCTAAAGCACCTTACAATACCACTGGTGAGATAGATAAGGGTCTTATTCTGCACTGAAATGCAGCCACCTGTGGGGTAGAACATGGTGCATGTTTATCATTGCATAATAATATTACACAATGATTTAGCACAGGAAGTTATGAAGAATCACGTATCCAAAGAAGTTAAGTGACTTTCCGAAGGTCACACAGGGAATCAGTGGCAGAGCCAGTACAATAAATCACACTCCTTCCCTGTCACATTCCCCAGGGGAATAAAATTCCTATTTAGTGGTGATATGGGACAGGCCCCTGAACTATCAATACAGGTGGTAAACATAAAGGTTGATCCCATATAGAGAGTGAACCCACAGCTTCAGGGAAGATGCTGGTTACCTATAATTTCAGGGGTGATGAAGATGTGAAATAAGAAGGGTGGGGAGCGGTTACGCCACTGGAAACACAACTGGGCAGAAACCCTTCTCACTCTGGGCTCTGAAGATCAGTCTAGACACAGAGGACTGGATTCTCCTATGTGCCCAGCATCAGCATAAATCTGCTCCCACTGAAATCCACGATCAAACTCTCGTAGAGCTCAGTGGAAGCAGTTAGGTCAATGCTGAGCACTTTTGAAAATCCGCCCAGAGAGTTTGACTCTGTCTCCTCACTGTTTTGGGACAGATGCTTCTCGAATGGAATTGATCAGAGGGACACATCACTTACTCACCCTCCCTCCCAAAATCAAAAACACTGCACAAGAGATTAGCTCAAAAATGTGTTTATTTCAAATGCTTTTATATGCCCAAAATGGTGGCATGGATCCCAACAGCTGTCAGGGCCCTCAGCCTTTCAGGGTGGGGCTGACACTGCACCCACAGCCACTATACAAACAGATGGTTAAATCAGCGCCAGACATACACTGCAGAAAGCGTAGCACCAAGAGGAAGGGCAGGTGAGATGTGACCACTATTCAGGGAGGCCACAAGAAGAGTTGGCGCATACTCTCAAGTCTTGGCTACTGCACATCACTGCCCTGGGGGCTGCTGGGACATTAGTCCAAAGGCAGGAGAACCAGCCTTATGTTTCCTCATTCCCTTGGGATCCTTGGTTGTTTCTATCCCAGGGCATGCTGGCAGGGAACATCGGGTGTTCAGCACCTTCCCACGGGACACTGAGCAGGGATGGCCCATGAGGAGGAGGTAAGCGTTACATCAAAAGATCAAGTTCCTGCAATGACAGGATGAAGGCACTGGTGGCCCTTCTCACTTCCCTCTTCTGGGGTTTGATTTTCCTTTGATGCAGCTCAGAGAAGGATGCCTGCTAGTGTCACTTAGGGTGACTGGATTCCTGCATTCAGGCAGCACCAGTGTTGGCACACTAGTAGGGACAGTGCTAGGGCTTATGTTATAGGGATGGCTGGTGAGCTGAAAATAGATGCTATAGCAGAAAGGAGGGGTGGGGAGATGTACTGGCAGCTACAGCCCTGGCAGGACACAGCTGCCCTGGGCACCAGCAGTAGGAAAGGTGACCACTCATTTGGATCCAAGCTCTATTGGCCAGCGTAATGGTTCTGCTCCTGGGGGAGGGTAAACGGTTCATGTCACTTGAGTGACTCCTATTTGCTGAGCCAGGAGCAGAGATCGCTGGCTCTGAAGAGAGCTTTAGCCAGCCTCTCTCAGTCAAGAGGATGGGCTGGCCTAAAGCAGGGGCCTAGGAGAGCTACTAGCTATCCCACACAGAAAACTGCACACGCTACATATTTTAAAAATACACTTAATAGAAACCCCCAATTTGGAAGAAAGGTTTTCTGGGCAATGAGATGACAGCTGGGAAGAATCCAAAGGGGGCATTTTTATAAAGGCAAAGGGAATTTTCCTGAGCCCTGAAAGCAACACTGTATAAGAACGAGAGACACAGTATTCCCACTTTTGGCACCCTGGTCACAGGCCTAATAGGCACAGCTGCAAGCTCTTATGGACCACTGCGACTTCCAGGGGAAATGGCCAGATTAATGGGCCCCATTAAAAGCGTACCGGGGCGGAGGAAAGACCAGGCTACAGCGACTGTGTATCATACACCTGTGCTATGAGAACGGGGTTTATATCAAGGGCCTTCTTCTCTCATCCCAGGACACAAATAACTCCCACCAGTTATTGAAGGATTTACTTTTACCCAGCAGCAGCAGGACTGGGATCAAACACTCCCTGCAAACCAGAACACCCAACTGATGGGCTGTAATGAAGGGTTTGGTTTCAAGCAGAACTATTGCGTTGAGGCTTCACACATTTTGAAGGCTTGGAGGAGAGGCACTCCACTGGAATTTCCAAAACTGCCTAGCAACAACCCTGGTGGTAAGGAAGGGCATTTCAAGGGGATGAAAGGACGCAAATGGCCAAATTGTTAGCAGTTAGCATGGTGGGGAATGTAATATACCAGCTGGCGTGCATGCATAGGCATAGAAGGATCTTATCCTACATGTGGGCCACCTAGTAGATAGAGTCCAGATGCATTAGAGTCATCTACAGGAATGCACATCTTTTGTGTCAGCGTGTGAGATTAGTTTTCCCCGGTAGTGAATGCCTGCCTACAAAGAGACACATGCCATAGCACTACTGACAAGCCGACAGAAATTATCATGTAACTCAAGTGGTATGGGCCTATGCTTTGGGAGCACAAGATCCTGAGTACTTGTTCCCGTGCCACATCCATGTAGTTGAGCTAGTGGTCTTAAAGTCAGTATTTTTATTTTTGGCTGCTGAAGTTATTCATTTCAGGTGCTAGAAATCACTTTAGCTGAATGTCTCAAAAAGCACCTTCAGCCATTCTCCAACTCTTCCATTGCAAGGCCCACTTCATAAGAGGAATGCTCTCTTTGACCTGTCCTCACCTCCGCAAGCCCTCATCCCCTTTTCCCTGCCACTACTTGGTCTTCAAAATGTTTAGTGTTTTGAAGTCCCAAGAAGGGCCCTGTGGACATCTGGTGGCCTGCAGAGCACAGCTGAGAACCTTGACTCCAGAGCAAGACTAGACACTTTAAATATTCTTAGTGTTAAAAAATGGCTCTGTAGGAAAAGCACATGAGGAGCTTGCTACCAACACCACGCCCAACATCTTTCCATTGCTGGAGACACAATATCCTAGGGGAATATAACTACATGAAAGAGCCATTGGCAGCCACTGGTCACCCCCACTCAGACACTACACAGTCAGGAGGTTACAAACATGGCAATTACATGCTGATGGCAGTGAAGGACATCACAATGAAAGCAAACCAATGAGATGGCCTGTAAAGTTGGTGAGCAGCAGAGCAGGGGGCAGCGAAGAGATAAGGGGGGCTGCCCGGGAGGGGAATGCCTCTAAAGTGAGTTGTACCTTCACATCCGCGCTCAATTTGCCCACTGCGGTGGAGAGCGTCATTGATTAGATCGGGCAGGCGCCCATTCAAGTCCACTGATGCTAGGCAGCCCTGAAACCCATCACGTGAAGCCACTAGCTTCGGGACGTTGCTGTACATGCCTTGAGCCAGGCCAGCAATGTAGAGATCACCTGGAGATAAACAGGGTAAAAAGACAAAAGCAAAAGGAAGTAAAATAAACTTATCTTCCAGAGTTGCATTTACCTTATATTCATTAAATGAATTGCACAGCCAGTGAAAGAAGGGTAGCCAGAGCTGTGCATGGTGTGATCCCGAACCCAGCTTGGCTAACCCATCTCAATGTACATGCAGCATCCACCGCTGTTCCTGTCATGGACCCTCACACAACCCTGCCAACATATCCAGACCCTGACCTGAAGCATCACCTGCCATTCCTGTCCGGGGCCATCACACAGCTCTGTAAATGAACATCAACTTCAACCAGCTGCACCACTTATTGTTAGACTTGTCCCCTTACACAATTCCCTCAATGCCCTTTGATTCTGATCACCTGTCCTTCCCACCCTAGCTTTACTAATGTGCTTCCATATTGACAGATACCACCCTATTATCAATCCTGTGCTCCCCCATAAACAGCGGTTCTCAGTCCTGACTGTCTATGCATCCTGCCACTCTAGTTCTGCCAATGCTGTACCTGATCTAGAATAATAAATTAATGCAGGAGGGGCCTGTCCTAACCAAAGAATGATAATTGTGTCTAAGGAGTAATGTGAGCATGTGTGAAAAACAATCTCGGAAGGCGCAAGATCAGCAAAGTATGGTGCTTAGAGAACTTGCCAATAGAGCAAATGCAGAATTAAAATAAAAGAAACCCACAACACATCCCAGACCTTCCATTCCTTCGTGCATGGTTATGAAGCTTCTCCTTGCCCACTTCTCTCTGCCCCCCTGCCTGCACCCCCCTCCCAAGGCCCAAAAGAGCACTGGCATCCTTCTGAGATTTACCTTTAAGGTCAAGGTTTTTGGCACCGTTGATAACCTGAGTAACAACCCTGGTGTCCACTTTTAAGCTGTGGGTGTTACTGTTGTCTCGGGTGATGACCACATTGTGCCACTGGTTGTCATTGAGAGGCCGATCACTGTTGCCCTTGATGACATTAGGACCGTTCCCCAGGTCAAACACGTAGTGTATATACCTGGAAACAACACATGCATCAGCTCAGATCATATGGAGACTCCAGAGCCACTGTTGGTCTTACTCCAAGCACAACTAATAGACTCTTAAGCAAAATTCGGTGAAAGCTTTATGAGATGGGAATCACAGTATCTAGATATGAGAAAGACGTATCACATCAGAGACTCCACCCCAGCAGGAGTAAGTGGCAGTCAGGCATAGAACCCCGGAGTCCCAGTCTTTTGCTTAACCACTACACCATATGTCTCAGTAAAAAAGAATAGAAATTGACTAGCCAGAGGACTCTCTCTTTGTATGAAGTATCAGAGGGGTAGCCGTGTTAGTCTGGATCTGTAAAAAGCAACAAAGAGTCCTGTGGCACCTTATAGGCTAACAGATGTATTGGAGCATAAGCTTTCATGGGTGAATACCCACTTCTCTTTGTATGAACATTTTAAAAGGTACCCACAGCTTAGCTGAATGCCCTCGGGGACCCCAGCACAAAGTGCACTCACCCCTTCACTAGCTCGACTGCGATGAAATCGCTGCCATCACCGCTGTTGAAGAGGATGAAGCCATCGGCTGAGGTGGTCTTGAACTGGAAGAAAAGGTGCATGGAGGTGTAGGCCTGCAAGGTGGCCAGACTCAGGTAACTGCTCTTGGTCTTGAAGGTGACTGGGTCAGCGATGATGTTGCGGAGGCCAAAGCGTGCTTTCAGCTCACAGTAGTCAATGTCACCGTTCTTGCACAGGTCAATGTAGAGCAGCCCATTAAACATGAGACTCTGGAGGTGGCCGATGAAGCTAGAGGGAATGACAGAGATGTACCGCTTCTCCGTCATGATCCCCGTTTCAATGTTGTGGAACTCCAAGCGGGTGTGGTCGCCAACCATTGTACCTGAATTCCACAAACAAGAGGAAAAGATTAAGAACACCCAGCATGCTGGGGGATTGGTAAACAGGCTAAGGAGCAATTTACCTTCAGGTTTCCAAACCAGTAAGGATAAAGTTATCATCTAATAGGCAGCCTGTGTATGAAATGAGTTGAGGGGTTGAGTCCAATTCCTAGCAGACAAGTTTCCACACTACAAAAGCCACCAGCACTCCTGTGGGCACTCTGAAAAGTGGAGGACCGAGTGGGTTGTGGAGAGTGAACTCCCTGCTCCTTCCCTAAGGGTAGGTCCCTGCTGGCCTGGGTTGCTAATGATCCAAAAAAAAAAAACCTCATCATCACTTCCCTGATTGGCATAAGGCCTAGAAAACCCCGCTGAATCTACTTCATTATCTCAGAGACCCCATGATACAGAAACAGGGCAGACACGCTCATATGCGCCAGATGTGCCAGGGTACCACATTCACTGATAACAAGCGGAGACCTTATCACTCCACCACAGAGAGAGATGGGAGCTAGCAGATGCGCAGAGCAGATTCACAGAGAGAACGAAACGGGGACTGATGGAAGAAGGTGGTAATTAGGAAAGGAGCAAGAGTGAGATTTCATTTTGCTTTCAGGGGAATCACTTAAACGTATTATTTGCTGAGCTCCCACAGCATGTTCAGCACTGCAGGGGAGACCAGGTCCCTCCTCCAGGGACTTACAGTCCAAGAGTCCATCGCTGCTAGGTGCCCTCAGCTCCAACCAAAAATAACCAAAGTTGAAGGCACTCAGCAGCTTGCCAGATCAGGCCTGCTAAAAAACAAAAACAAAAACAAAAACAAAAAACCCACAGTTCAGATACACTTTTGAAATAAGTCATTGGTTCCTAGTTTGATGATTGATGAAATGAGGTTAAAAAAAAAAAGAGAGAAAATGAGAAACACGGACACAGTCATAAAAATGATAATGTGTTAAAAATTCACTCTACTGCTCCACACAAGGAAAATGGCCTCTCCCGCTGTCTGATGTTATTCTAGTTGTTGCTTAGCTCTGCTCGGCAGCATGGTAGGGGGTTAACGCATGAGCAGGCAACAGATAAGACAGCCTCATTAACTTCAAACACCAAATTACTGCATGGTCTGGGCTCTACATGTCGTGGTGATGAATTTTCATTATTCAGTATAACAAAATATCTAGTTATATGACCTTAAAGCATATTTAGTTAATTACATATACATATTGTACTTCTATGCAGTACAGATATGGCACTCATGAGACACAGAAAGTAAGATCAGAAGTAACCACTAATTTTGTATACCCTGTGTAGGATGCCTAGGACTTGATTTTTCCAGATATTTAGCACTTTATATAGTCAAGCACATCTCCAATGGACTTCAGTTGCCATTCTGAGTGCTCAGACCCCAGGCTCTCATGTTGGGCACCCAGAAAGTGAGGAACACAATCAGTGACAACCTGTTAAAAGTTGGGTTTAAATTGTTTGATTAACACCTTAGAGAAACTCTCTGCCAGAGGCAGATCTAGGATCCACATCACCAAGGCACCATTCAATGGCCTTACAGGAGACCCATCTATTCCTGTTACTACACTCTACATTCACTACACATCTCCCAACTTCTGCAATAAACAATGCAGGGGGCCTAAATAAAATAGCCTCCTTTTCTACACAACCCTGTTTTATCCTCATAGCAGGTCCATCCTCTTCAATACTTAGACAGGTGTCCTGTAGAAAACAGTCGCATCTGATTACGTAGTTCAAGACTAACATAATGCATAGGCAAAAGGGTGGGAGGGGGGCAACTTAAGGCTGCACAGACAACCATAGTTCTGGCATTTCCTAACTTTCAAGTGTTTAACTTTGCAACCATAACATGTTCTTAACATAACTATTTGGATGACTGTATATACATACATACATCTCTCTCTCTCTCTCTCTCTCTCTATATATATATATATATATATAAAATATTTGTGTGTGTGTGTGTATGTGTGTGTGTATATAATCATTTATATATATGATTCCATCATTTTTATTTATCAGATCAGTTTTATGAAAAATACACTTTCAAGTGGCAATTTTCTTTGTGCACCTTTCTGAGCTGTATGATGAAAGTGCCATCTAGCGGCTGTTACTGAAAATCACTTCCAGAATTCCTCTAATGCAAGAGAACTGTTGGTCTCTGTGCTGGAGAGCACAGTGACCAAGTCAAAAATTCACTCTAAAGCAGAAAAGTTGCCTCTTAAGCAGAAGAACTTGCCCCCTGTAATACTGAACGCACCTTTGCTAGTTCCAGCAAGCAGCAGATGGGGCTTCCTCATGTCACTATCCATTTCTCACCACACCACAGAGTGTACATTTACCACCAATGATTTAGAGTGCACATATGATCAAGTACTTTGGAAACCACCCTTGTGTCCGCCTGTTAAGCCGGCAGGATGCCTGGGTCGTTTCAAACCCTATTACCCATCTCTCGTTTTTTTTCTGAAGTTTTTAATCTGTCAGGTTGCTTACAATCAGGTCCTGTTCAGATACCAGAAGCCCCCTTTTTATATATATATAAAAAAAAAAAGACGTAAGTAACCTCCCAGGAATTTTCTATGAGGAGGTCCCCTGGAATTTGGAAGAGAGGCTTCTAGAGCCCAGCTGAACGGGAGGAGTTGCAAGGGGGCAAATGCAACCTTAATTAGTTGGTTCTCCTAGAGTTACCAACTCTCATGACTGCATCACCTGCCTCTCAAGATAGCAAGATTTCTCTTAAAGCTCCAACTCCCAGAGTCATGAGATTACAGGGGAATCTCAGTTTTCATTTAGAAAAATTAAAATATGTTTCTAGCTCCCATGGTTGTAAAGAAAAAAATGAACCCTAAAGGCTCAAAGACCACAAGACCAAAGAACCCAATATTTATGTTTTTTAAATTGCATGATTTTAAACCTATTTTTTGGGGGGGGGAGGGGATGTCTAAAGTTTTTGGAACATTTGGGGTTAGCAATATGGATCTCTTCTTATTCCTCACATACTACATGCAGCACATAACCAAATTAACACACTTCCTTCCCTCTCTAACATCTCTATGGCTTCCTTCTTGCTTTTTGGCTGAGTTCAAGGCCTTGTGCATTCTCCTTGCTGCATCTCCGTTCCCAGGGTCCACTCCAGGCCGCTGTTGCCAGAATGGGTTGGGAAGAAAGAGCCCCTCATAACTGGATTCTCAACACGGTGATTCCCAGTTGAGAGGCCTTCACAGAGAGGTGGAGGAGAGAGAGAGAGAGAGAAAGAAAAAGGGTGCACGTGTATGCTGAAAAGAAGCTGAGAACAAAGGGAGACAGTAGAGATACCAATACATTGCACTCACCCTCAGCTACGTCATCATCGACTGTCAGTTTGAGGCTCTTTCCTCGCCGCACCACCCGGACTGTGTGCCACTCGTTGTCATTAAGTTTCTGCCCAGCATACAGAGTTTCCGGTCCTTTGCCTGGGGACGGTGATAAGTACAAGAGTTAAAGATGGACCCTACTACACGGCAGTGCTTGCCTGATTAGGAGAGTCGCCAAAATCACCCTGGTGTGATACTGACCGCAGCTCATCAGAAGATGGCAAAGAAACCAGTGCTCAGAACCAAACCCAAACTTCTATCCCTTCCCCATCCAAATTGGATCAAGATCATTACCCCCTACACCCTAAGAAGTGCCTTCTCCCTCACATCCCAGAAGGCACATGCATAGAAAGGTAGGTGGAGGGCTAAACACCTTTCCTGTCTCCCCCAGAACTCATCGTTGCCAACATAACTTCATATAGCATATCGCAATGCTAGAGGAACATGCTGATGGTGGAAATAACTCTGGAGTGAGACCAGTACTGAGCTGGAATTCTGCTTTATTAAGTCTCTATAGTTAGAAGAACAGCAACATGCCACTAGATGCTAGAGATTCCACAAAATTGTTTCTCCTGGGCGCTGGGCCTCCTGATGCTTAGCGTAATACACACCAGGCTGGTTTCGGCCTACAGGTCTCCAACCATGACCAAGCACCCACCAACTTGACTGATTGCCAGAGAACCGTAAAGCAAAGAAGCTTGGCTCCAGATACTCCCAGAATTCTCAGCCCTCTCCATCCCCCCCAAATCAGGGCTTTTCCATTTGCGGATTTTCTCCCATAAAAAGAAAACAAGAACAATTCTCCTTGCAAACAATGCTCCTGAAGGGAAACCAGTCATGCCCCTCCTTCCCCCGCCCTGATGTCCAGCTTTATTCCTCACTCGTTACACTGTGCAGCCAAACCTTTGAAATGCTAATTGCTTCCAATTCCAGAACTGTGACATTGTGTGCATATCAGTCAGTGAGTGAAAATCAAATAGTGGATTGTGCTAAATTCAAAGTGTACATGCGGGCTGCAGCTTAGCTTTGGCACAGTGTGTGTGGGAAGCCCACAACTAGTACAGCAGAAGGTGATGTAAGTCAGGACTAAGAAGCATTGACAGAGCTGTGGAGGGGGAACCCAGGAATGAATGAGCAAGGTAGGTCGGGGATCAGAATTGATGTGCATTGGTACAGCTGTGGTATGGATTGTAACTGACATAGCAGGAGTTGCTGCAGGTCAAGACTTTGTGAAATATCCAGATCACTTGTCCACATTATAGTCAGTTGTAATAAGATTTGTCCATTGTGTTCAAAAACAGTAAAAATGAAGCAGTGAAAAGCAAATCAGAACAAATAATGCACTGTGTCATGACTGGCAGAAAAGTCTGATTGTAATCAAATGCCTATTGCTAGCCGGGTTTAGACACCGACAAAAGGAAAATCAGAGCTGCCACAGTCGTTGGAGTTGCAATGCGGGTCATCTCTCTCTTCCCTTGGTTCTAAAGAAGGTGAGTTGTATAGTATAACTAGTGAGAATTCCTCGACAGGGGAACCAGCCTGTCTCACCACAATTCCTAGCTTGTGGCTATGCCATTCCTGAGTGACAAAGTCACACCAATGGCATGAAAATGAACTCCAAGTCCACAGGGCAGGTAGGTTACACATGAGGCCCAAATTCTGCTCTTCGTTAAAATGGTGCAAGTCTATTGAAGCTCAATGGAGCTGTATGAGATTTTAAATTGGTACGAGAACAGAATTTGGCCCACAGCCTGTAATTATGAAATGATGTATTTGACCGGCCAGCAAAGTTTTTGCCTGTGCCAATACAGGGGGCTCCATTAGAAACCCAACACATGCCACTTTGCAGTGACTGCAGGAACACAGTATCTCCTCTTCCAAGTATTGCACAGAAGTTATTGCTGTTAGGGCACTTATCTGGGGCTGTAAATGGAGCTTTAATGGTGTCCACTGAATATGTGGCAGTTCACAGGCCATGGAGGAAACAGAAGGCAGAAATCCTTGAAGGGCATGTTGACAAGCCTGAAATTATCCATCTTTTCTGCTCCAGTCTTGGCTTACATCGCATGTTCATTGTTCTGGGTCTTTGTAAAACATGCTTATTACTTATTAGTGTACTTTCAGATGCTAAGAGATCTTTTCTAATCTTTTCTATATAGATACTGGGGCCTGATGGGGTTTATTCAACTGAAATAGTCGAGTGTGGTGATGGTCAGAAATGTGATCATGTAAAAATATAGCATTTTACTCAACATAGCTCAGAGCCATAGCTGCGGACTTTACTGAAACAGATGAGTTCCCACTGTTAGTCCTACAGAGCTGACAGAGCTATGGGAAAGCCAGCTGGGTTCTATTCCGCCTCACACATCAACTGTCATCATTTTTTTAAAGGATGCTACAAACAGAAAGAATGTGGCAGGAGTTTCTGCAGGGCTGATTAAACTTAATGCAAATAAATGATCTGAGGAATTCAGGACTTTCTTCTCTTCATGAACTGGTTCTGATTTCTGCCAATGGGTTTGTTATTTACAAGTATTCACAAATGGTTTGGGCTAACAATTTTCCACCTAAGGACTGCTCGGGCACTGCTCTCTTTGACTTGTCTCCTTAGTGCTCCCTCATTAGATGAAACCTTTATAAGAGGAGAATAATTAATACCCTTCTCCATGCATGGACTCCCTGGTTCGTATGTGACTCTGGGTACTCCTACGAAGGGACGTTATTCCCCGAGCCTCTCTACAGACACAAACCCATCCCATAGGAAGGGTCAAGACTAAGAGGACACAAGGATAATCAAACCAAACAAGTGTTTGAAATGCAAATCAATGTTCACAAACACTATTTTTGCTGTATTCAACCCGCTGCAATGTTCGTATCCCTGTTGAAGGCACGTGCACAGTTGGCAGGCTAACTTGCAAATGAACAAACGTAGGCTGCGTTTCTGCAACTGATAGCGCCTAAATGAACTGCTGAATCTGCATGGAGCCGTACTTACCGCAATGTGGCTCTGTGTGACGTAGTAACCCATCACACACCATCAATTGCAGAAGCAGGACCTATATACGGAGAGTGCAGATGCGTGCGATTATTAGCGATTTCTGAGAGTAGAAAGAGAAAAGCACTTCTGAAAATTTTATCCATGTGCACGTAAGTAGTGAGCTGTTTATCTTCAGGCAGCCACCTACTGTTCGGTCCCCACCTGACATTCTGCTCTCAGTTACAGCACCATGGCAACCAACTATGATATCATAGATTGAAAGTTTTGGCTTCTTCTGAGCAGATGGACAGCGAAGAAACTCAAAGATGTACCTCCGTAAACTAAGATCCCTGGCAATAAAAAAGGAGGAAGAGAAAGAAGACAGCAGCTATGGAAGCTGAACTGCTGGAAACGTTTTCTATTTATAATGTTTTTGATGAGATGGCAGCTGGTTTCTGGCAATTTTTGCACATTACTTATTTTTTATGAGCGAGGACAAATAAGAGGCAGAATGATTAGCATTGCGCAAGAGGAACAATAAGAGAAGTTTTGCCTGTGTGAGAAGTTCAACATGAAGATGCTGGAATTTCACAGCTGTCTTTAAGGAGAACACATTGTTCCACCTTTGGGGCCTCTTGGTCCTTTGACGCATCTTCCTAACTACTTCTAAAGATGATGGGCACTATGTACCATGTGTCATCAGGGGAGAAGAGGCCCCTCATCTCGCATAGTAAAACTTGAATGAAGCAACTATGTGAATATTTCCTTCATGTTCATGGTAATCAGTCCCCATTCCAGAGCAAAACCTCTCCTCAGGTGGCTCACTGTCTGCTAACACACAAATTCAGCAACTTACTGGAGTGCACAGCCAATGACTGCTTGGCTAGGCTGCCGCTTTCAAATCAGGCTTAAGTGGGTCTCTTCAATCTGCTCAGAGCCAGTGTCCATAAAGTATATAACACAACTCTTTGGTCATGAGAAGACTTTCTCAGGATGACCCCAACATCATTTCCATGTAACGGGCCCATCATGGCCAATTAACAGCAAGGCCCCTAGCAAGCAGGCATGAGGTTCCATAAAGAGCTACCCTACATTTTAATAGAAAACAACCACCCACCCTAAATGGCTCAAGGACGTACTGCCCTTAAGTCTTAGCTGAAGATAACCTACCCAACTGAAATAAGGGTCTAGTCAGAGGGATTCTTCCTTCCAGGAGCATAAACGATGATTTGAAGGACACTGACTGCTCCCCAGCTAGAATGGCCCTGCCACACAAAATTCCCCCCTGCCTGAATGTACCCAGTATGCTCCAATGATTCATTAATTTCAGTGGAACAATGGCAGTGCAAAATGGTAACAGAAGCCTGGCAGTGAAAGGGCAACCCTCTTCCTCCCTACCTATCGCTCACTACTGTGTGCGTCACAGAGGGGTCTGCAAAAATAAGAGTGCAGGAGCTTAAAAATCTCCCATTCCTCCAACACAGGTTATCATGACCCGATTCAATTATAGAATTAAAATGGGCCTCCATGAGACCAGACTTTGTCTTCCTATTGAATTACTGTATAGGTCACTCAGGAGTGGAGAAAGGTCCAACATCATCTGTGACTGTTGGAGCTAGGGAGACAAAGCAAGAAGGCACAGGGATAGACCACAGGGAGGGCTCCTGCTCACTGCAGAAATAAAAATAACTGATTGCTGTGTATTGATAGTGGAATTTTAGAGAAGACTCACAAGAAGCCTTAAAGACACATTGCATAGAATTCTGACACTGCTTTGCTGCCACGCTAGGTGTCTCAGTGTTGCCTAGTGTGCAGAGACGGGCTATAAAAGCTGAACATTTCCATGCCCATTAAACACAGGGCAATGTCTTCCTGGAGTTCAGTCAACGTCCCACAGATTCAACCAGTTTGAGAGTTTTTCCTCCATACTGATGCATCAAGAACACCAGAAAATTGTTTTTTTCCATTGAAACTGTACTAGCAAAAATTGAATGTGTGATTGTGGGAGGAGCCATGCAGGTCCTCCCTGTAGTTAGAGGGGACTAGTGCACCTTAGATAGCTCTCACTATACTTATGAGGAGACTGGACTAGTGTAACTGCTAAGCAGACTGCCTCACTAAT